CGGGATCTTGGGCACACATGCACACGCGCCTGGCATGAGTTTTAAGCTACCAGGTCCGGGACGTGAACCGCAGTCAACTACATAGGAGTCCAGCGACATAGCCATTACACCAACTGCTGGTCCCCCCCTCCTTTCAATCCTTCCCTTTTCCTGCTGCCAAAGAAATTCTGTATTTCAAGTCTGACATGTCACTCTCTTGCATAACTTTTTTTTTCTTTTTTTGGAGAGGTTTTTGCTATAGGGCACGTGTGCTCGCCAGGAAGACAGGGAGATAGAAAGTGAAAAATCACCCCCCGGGGGAATGGCCACGCCGCAATCCCTTCTCCTCCATTCTCCTCTTGGGATCTTGGGCATGCACGCACAAGCGCCCAGCGTTGTTTTAAGCCACTAGGTCCGGGACACGAACCGTGGTCGACTACGTGGGAGTCCAGCGACACTAACTGCTGGTCCCATCTCTTGCATAACTTTTTAGGGCTCTTGGTAGTCTGTAATCCAGGTATCTTTTTCTCAGCTACAGGAGTCGATCCTTGTTCTGCCTTCATCTCTGCCTCACCCCATCTTTCTTCATGACAAGTTACTCCATCTTCGTTTATGTGAACTGGCCTATTTCCTTCATATCCGTAACTCAGAAACACCTATTTATCCTTCACGATGTGGTTCACATTACTTCTAGATGCCTTTAATAAAGTCTACTCAGGGACCAGCTGGCTTAAACTCGGGCACGTGTGCATGCGTGCCCAAGATCCTGAGAGAATGGAGAAGGGACTGCAGAGTGGCCATTCTGCCTGGGGGCGATTTCTCGCTGTCTCTCTTTCTGGTGAGCACATGCAACCTGTAACAAAGACGTCTCCAAAAAAAAAAAGTCTACTCAGTAAAAGCTGGCTTCTCTACTCTGGCCTAGGTCTGTCTCCATGTGATTGGAATAGCCCGAGAGGAAATGCTTTCCTTAGTATACCCGAGGCCAAGCCGTGCTGGACACAAAATACACTCAGCAGGCCACGTGTCCAGAGCACGTGCTTAATGCTGAGTTGTGGGACCAGCAGGTGGGATGGTGGTTAAAGTGCTGGACATTCCCGCATGGCCAACCACGGTTTGAGTCCTGGACCTGGTGGCAAGCTTTTTCACTTTCCTTCTGTGCGTCTTTCACTGGTCAAATTAAAAAATGAAGGAGTGAATAATTTTTTTCAACGCCGAGTTGTGAGTAGTTACGTCCGTTAGGAAGGCACGGGCTTGCTGTAGTACCCCTTGCAGTTAGCAGCAGCACTACTTTCCCAGGCTAAGTGCACTGAGCAAGCCTGGTAAACACTGGCCCATCACAGAGCCCAAAAGACAAGGAAACTCTAGGGCAGTAGAGGTACGTGCCTAGACCACACCCCACCTTTTACCCTTTCATTTCTGCCCTGGTTCATTTTTAAAGCTGAAATTAGAAAACAGGTTTGTGGCTCTCCTTTTTGATTGTACATTTGGCTGTGTTAACTCTGCCCAGTGGGTCTTGAATCAGAGTTAACAAGGAGCTGGACCATCAAGTGCTCAGGAACTGTGAGTTCCCAGGAAGTCCCGGGAAGGGAAGAGCACGTGCGCCAGGTTCAAGGAGAGCCCGTGCTTCCAGGAAAGAGAGACCGCTCTGTCAGGTGCCACTCCTTTTTGTTCCTTTTGACATCATTTCCAGCTTCATCTTTTGCTAAAAACAACACAAGACACACAAATGATAACATTTTATTATAGAAAAAGCATCCCAAATATAGGATTTCGTAAACACTGGTAAGTGAACAAGTGCAACTTTAAAAGTAAATATGAAGTAAAGAGGCAAAACCTACAAGCATTTTGCCTCTAGGAGAAAATACAATATTCTCCTGCAGAGGTGATCCCACCCAGAACACAAATGTGGCTCCGTCTCCCATGAAGGCATCAGGTTTGCTTTCTCAACTATGACCACTTGAACAATTTCAAAATGATGGCAAGAAATGGCATTGAACAAATTATTAATTTTTTTTTTTAGACTTTGTCAAAACTTGGTTAAAAAGAAGACTCCATATCACACATCAGTTTGAGTTAAAGCCTGTGTTCTGAATATTCATTTTACTTAAAGGACCCTTGGAACACTATTTGCATATAAATCTACCCTTTCTGGACTTACTCCACAGCATTTTCATAGACCTGTGTACATCAGATACCACTGCTCCCTTGCGATTTAGCTTAAAACACTGGCTGTCGCATATGGTGAAGTAATTCCCAATACTTCCTATCTCCCCACCCTTTTTGCTATCATTCTTTATTACCTTTCCTCTACTTCAGGGAAGCACTGAATAATCTTACCTGGCATTTCAATGCTATTTCCTTGCCCTCTCTCCAACTTCTCAATGGCAAACATTTCCTGATCAACTACACAGGACATGATGCAGACACACACTCAGGTTTTAAACTTCAAATTCTGGTTCATTTTGGCTTGCTGAGATGCTCTGAGTAAGATGCTCTGGTTAAAACCGTTTTTCTTATAAAATGCTTTGTATAAACCATCTGGCTTTACTTATTTAGGCACTTAGAAAAACACCAATCCTGAATTCTACTTTTTATTAGACAGAAATACCTTTTGCCCATCTGGCCTGTCACTGACTCTGAATGGGATGACGGCAATCCAGGCCTTGTCCCTGTGAGGATTGAGAGGTCTTATGTTGTGAAATGCTGACTGGGAATAGAGCAGCCATGGCTGAGGGGAGCCACCAAACAACGATGCTGAGCTCCACCTCAGTGGTTGGGGGAGGTACAAAAATATCCTCCTCCCCCTTCTGAGGGAACCTGCGGTCCCAGCTTTCCTTCAGTCACACTACCCAGTGACGCTAGATTCACCTTCGGAGATTCCGAGCCTACTAACGTTCTATAGTTTGGGGCCAACAGCATGTTAACTCAATTTTGGGGGAAAAAAGGTCTAAGTCTTGAAAGCCTGAGGAAACGGATTACATAGAACAAAGTATTGAATACATGCCCTACTTCCATGTGTGGATTTTTACCTAAGCACAAACTAATTAAAGTGTTTGTTGTGGTGTTTACATTTAAACGTTAACAATACATAAGCTGTGTAACAGTAGTTATGTGTGTCAGAATACACAAGCATTAGATAGTTCAAATTTCCTTTGTAATGGCATAAAGTCCACTGAGAAGCTTAAAGGAAGCACCATTAAACAATAAACTGGCCAACTGCTAGTGGGTATGAATGTTGGTGCGGCAAGGTCTAGGGCAAGCTTTACCTCAAATATGAGCCAATTAGCTTCATGGAAATAAAACTACCTTCTGGCTACAAATAACCTTGACCCTTAACCTTAATCCTGGCAACTGGACTTGCAAATGGACGTCAATGGTTATCACCTCCGTAGGTTTAAACCCCTTACTATTATTAAATACTTTTTCTGGGTAAGGAAGAGCGCTGGTTTCTACTGCGATGTTGGTCACATGCACAAGAGAGCATAATTCTTGAGAACACTCTTGTTCTTCAAGGCTAGAAAGAGTAGCTTTCAACACCTACCTGACTTTATCTTTGGATGAGTGTGACTAGGGCAGTCAAAATGGAATAAAGTCACTTGTCCTAAAGTATCTTCTGGGAATGGGATTTAAGGAAATCAGCCAAGTCCTTATTTTAAAGAACTTAAAGGAAACCACGTGCCTCTTCACTGTTTGTGAGGAGTAAATATCCCTGCACGCGTGACTGAGAGTTCAACTTCTACCCCAAAGTGGGAGATGATCTCAACACTTTAGCTCTGCTGTTAATAGCCATGGAGACAGTAGAGGAAGGTGGTTCAGTACTAGGGACTGGGGAGAGTTATCTCGTTTGTTACTCACCGTGCACGGCCAACAGGCTGACATAGCAAACACTATGACTAGGCCTAATTTCTCACCAACTCACCCTTCCTCGGGGATGACAGCATCATTTTCTTACCCTGTGTTGTGATCAGCTAATAGGCAATTTCAAAAACAAATATACTAATACTCAAAATAATTCCATGGTATGAAAAGAACATACACAGAAAAATCTTGCTCCAGGACAGAGCCTGAACAGGTGGTATTTTCCACCAGCTTTAGTCCAAATGTCCCCACCTTGCTCTAATAGGTCTACTGAAAACAACAAAACAAAACAGAACAGCACTTGTGAGGAATTCCTGCCCTCATCTTGAAAGCCTTTAAGCAGCGTCTAAGCTCTTCTAGTCACACCCAGAGTACCTGCTGCCCTGGGGTGTCAAGATTTATGGCTTTACACCGGACTCAAATCCAGGGTAATCTGTGGCCTGGGGCCTGTCTGGGAGAGGTTCTTCTTGAGCTGTGGATTTCATTCCAAACGAACCAATTTGTTAGGTTCAAACCCTTGAAACAAAAGGTTCATAAGCACCATCACATCATTATCCTTCTTATTTCATCCCCCACCCCCCAAAGCTGTGTTTTCGGATTGTACGTTGCATTAGTAAGAAACAAAACTGAATTTAAGTTCTTAAAAATTTCCTTTTGGGGATCAGCAGTTAGCATAATGGCTATGTCACTGGACTCCCATGTAGTCTACCATGGTTCGCATCCCGGACCCGGTGGCTTAAACTCACGCTGGGCACGTGTGTGTGTGCCCAAGATCCCAAGAGGAGAATGGAGGAGAAGGGATTGCGGCGTGACCATCCCCCCTTGGGGGTGATTTCTCGCTGTCTTTTTCTTTCTGGCAAGTGCATGCGCCCTATAGCAAAAAGCTCTCAAAAAAAAAAAAAAATTCTTTTGGACATTTTGAATGAGAGCCTAGCTCTTCCCAGATGAAATCTAGTACAGAGGCCACCAGGAATGGCATCTTCATTAACCTCTAATGAACATCCCATTAACGCCTGATTTTAGATTGAGATTGTCTCCTTTTAAGTTTGGTCCCTTTGCTGCTAAGCAACTTGCCTCGTATAAAATAAAACAAAAACCAAGAACAGAGGACAAAGGATAAGGACCACTTTGCTAAATATGAGGCAACAGGAGTCCTGACTTCCTTTCCTGCTTTTCCCATTATGCAAAGACTCAGTGAACAGCACCAAACCCAAATTCTTCAAGTTACCAGGGCTGCTGCAAAGCTGGTAGCTTAATTATCAGTGAGTGCTTCATCCCTTGTCAGAGACACAGACGTACTAAAAAGGACATATTAATTACGGGAGAAAGGCAAAGGACAGGGAAAAAGCACGCCTCCTACTCAGAGTGAGACAAACAATGGGGAGGACGGGGAGGACGGGCTGTACCCAAGCATCCCAGACTGAGAAGAGCTCCCATCAGGGTGGACCCATAGCTGGCCCTAGTCCTGCAAGTCATTAGAAGCCATCTGAGAAAGTGGGGCATTGAGCCGGTCAAGTTCATCCACTTGGGGTGGGTGGTGCATTAATATCTCCTGATCTTCCAAGACATCCTCGCCAGCAGCTACCAGATTAGTGAGGGATTTGCTTCGAACACACTGAAAATCTACATGGCGACTCTTTCCTTCTTCCTTTTCCCAGGACATCTGAATAAAAGGGCGCTGCACATAATTATAGATGACTTCAGACCGGCCACCAGGTCTTCTTTTAATTTTTTCTTTACAGGTGGGGTAACCTGCAACAGAGAAAAAGGCCTCTCTCATGATCTGGCAAATTGTGCACTCTGGCGTTCATACTTCCTAACCACATCAATTTCCCCCAGATTCAAAGACAGCATGTAAAACTGTGTGGGAAGTGATCAGTCCCTATTCCATGCGCTCCCATCTCCAATCACATAAATGCTTGATTCCGTCCTGCTCAGATTAGTAGATTCAGTCCCTAGAAGACACGAATCTAAGAGAAGTACCAAGAATCCTATCCCTTCTGGGGCCAGCAGGTGGCGTGGTGGTTAAGGGCACTGGACTCTCACATGGCCGATCCCGGTTTGAGTCCTGGACCTAACAACTTGCTTTTTCACTTTTCCTCTCTCTTGCTCTGTCCCTCAGTCAAATTAAAATAAGTAAATAAATAAGTAAAGTAATTATTATTCTTTTCTTTTCTTTTAATGGAACAGGGAGAGAAGACACTCATCAATCTCAGTTGTTGGCAACAATACCATAGAACCAAATTCCTGCAGCGCATGGCTACTGCAGTCTCCTTAACTCAATTGCTTAGAGTAACTTAGCCCATTTTCTGTCACTATAACAATACCACAGACTGGGAAATTTATAAAGGAGTTTATTTAGCTTGTGATTCTGGAGGCTGAGAAGTATAAGGGCATGGCACTGGCTTCTGGTGAGGCCTTTTGTGCTGGGACCATAGCAGCAAGAAAGGGCTGAGTTCACTTTCACAACAACCTGCTCTCCTGAGAATGAGCTCCTGTGATAACAGCATTTGATCTCTTTGTATGGTCTCTGCCCTCTTGACCCAGTCCCCTATTACCAGACTCTGCCTCCCAACACTACTGCATTGGAGGTGAACTTCCAACACATGAATTTGGGAGACACATTCAAACCACAGCAGAGCGCATCCTGTATGAAAAATAGTTAAGGAACTGTGGAATGTTTTGCCTACAAAAAAGCACAGATGCTGCATAAAATACGTGACACATGGAAACCGGAGAAATCTTATTCAAAGTAGTTTCAGAGGCTAGAACTAGAGAGCAGGCAGAAGAGGGAGGCAGTTTTCTCACAGGTGTATGAAAGAGTATTTTAACAGAACAGCTGGAAAGGCTACTCTGAGACATGTCCTTACCCTAGTGTTTCCCAAGAGATAAAGGAAAAATACAGAGGAAAGAAGTTTAATAGATAATCTCAAAAATTTCTTCCAACTTAAAATTCCCATCTAAGTCAGACAGAATAGTAGGTTAGATGGGTTCTGCGGGGACTATGAGATAGCAACAACAAAGCACAAGAGTCAAAGATGACCAGGTGGCTTTAGCACCCCCCAAGAACCAGTCTCTGAGGCCTTTCCCTGGGGACCATAGGTTGGAAGTCACTGCTCAAAATCATTTAAAGTAGGGACCAGCAGTTAGCACAATGGCTATGTCACTGGACTCCCACGTAGTCGACTGCGGTTTGCGTCCCGGACCCAGTGGGTTAAACTCACGCCGGGCGCGTGTGCATGCGTGCCCAAGATCCCAAGAGGAGAATGGAGGAGAAGGGATTGCGCGTGGCCATCCCCCCTGGGGGGTGATTTCTCACTTTCTGTTTCTCTGTCTTTCTGGCGAGTGCATGGTCCCTATAGCAAAAAAACTCTCCAAAACAATAATAATAATTTAAAGTAGTTCTGTCAATTTACCCACACATTTTCAAAGGTATGGAATAATCTTAAATTCTGAGTCCCCAAGTTTTATTTTTCAGGACCTTTCTAGATACCAGAAACATCCTCACCAAAATTGCTGGTAGAATGATTCTCCCACTTGGTGAGCCCACAAGCCCTACTAAAGCATTTATTTTTTATTTTATTTATTTAAATTTGCTATAGGGCATGTGTGCTTGCCAGAGGTGAGGAAAAGGGAGAAAGACAAAGTGAGAAAGCACCACGGATGGCTATGCCACCATCCCTCAATCCCATCTCCTCTCATGATTTTGGGCATGCAAGCACATGCACCTGTCATGTTTTTCTTTTTCTTTTTTCTTTTTTTTTTTTTAAAAGGAAAAGATTTTTACTATAGGGCATATGCACTCGCCGGGGAGACAGAGACAGAGAGACACAAAGGAAGAAATCACTCCCTGGGGGGATGGCCACGCCGCAATCCCTTCTCCTCCATTCTCCTCTCAAGATCTTGGGCACGCACGCACACGCACCTGGAGTGATTTTAAGCCACCAAGTCCGGGATTCGAACTGCGGTCGACTACACGAGAGTACAACGACATAGCCATTATACCAACTGCTGGTCCCGCCCTCACTGTTTCTTAACCTAAAGTATTAAACTGGAACCTGCTCTTGTGGTTGTTTGAAAGCACTTTCAACTAGAGATAAAATGCAAAGGAAATCAAGGACAAACAAAAACAAAAACAGGAATCTTTCACACTTGAGGAATGTAGTTTTCCTGTGTGCCTACTCTCTAGGCCCTCTGGAAGGTCAGTTTTCAGGTCATGAGTAGTGGACATAGAATCAATCTATAAAACACAGCCTCAATAGTGACTGCTTTTTTTTTGTTTTTACCTTCAATTCCAATGCGAATGTTTTTCAGGCCTCTTTCCTTTAACACTGTTTTAGCAACATCCCGATTCTCAATATATTTGAAAAATCTGTAGAGCTTGGAGCTATAAAGAACTGAAAGAAAAAAAAAAAAACTGGGGTTAGACCAATGGAATAAAGACCTCTCTACACAAAGAAGGAGATGAGCTAACAGAATCAAGCTAATGAAAGGTACACTTGATCCATGATACCACACACACACACAATCCAGACAGATCAAAGAGCAAAGAGTACATAAACTATAAGATAAATGTTTATAGTCGTAGGGTAGAGAAGGCCTTTCTGGGTATAACATAAAGCCGAGAAGTCAATTGATGACTATATAAAAGCATGTATCTGCATTGCTGAAATATCCACTAGCAAAGCTAAAAGCACTCCAAATGGGAAAAATATGTGCAGGTCGTATTACAAAGGGCTAACTTCCTATATATACAGAAACTGTCAAGAGTTTTCACAATCACCAAGTGAAAGCACAAAAATCCCACTTTGAAATGAGCAAGAAGCACAGATAAAGTTAACAGTAAAGGAAGTGAGAATGGCCCTTAAAAATGACAAAGCTGTTGAGGCCAGCACGTCGTGTGGTGGTGAAGGCACTGGACTCTCCCACGGCCAACCACAGTTGAACTGGACAGCCTGAAAATCACACCTACTGCATGTGTATGTGTGTGCCCAAAATCCTGAGAGGAGAATAGCAGAGAGGGGGATTGCAATGTGGCCATCCCCTCTAAGGATGATTTCTTACTTTCCCTCTCTCTCTTTCTGCTGAGCACATGCACCCTATGGTAAAAACCTAAAAAAAAAAACAAAAAACAAAAAAAAGAAAAAAAATTAAGGTGTTCAGCTTTGCTCATGAAATGAGAAATGCAAATTAAAACTTGTGCTGAACATAAAGATACAATTTTTTGTACCTAATAGGAGGGAGAGTGGCAAAGTTTTCTTTCTGTTTTTGTTTTTAGGTTTTTGCCATAGGGTATGTATGTATGCTTATTAAAAAAGAAAAGTGAGAAATTACCCCCAGGGGATGGCTATGCCACAATCCCTTCTCTTCCGTTCTTCTCTTGGGTTTTCAGGCACAAACATACAAGTGCCTGGTATGATTTTCAAGCAGCTGGGTCCAGGACTCAAACCATAGTCGGCCATGTGGGAATCTAGTGCCTTCACCACCACACTATCTGCTGGCCCTGAGAGTGGCAGTTTTTAAAACCGTTTTGGTGAAGGTTTGGGAAACAAATCTGTTAGTTTAGGGAATGCAAATGGAGGGACCAGCAGTTAGCGTAATGGCTATGTCGCTGGACTCCCATGTAGTCAACCATGGTTTGTGTCCTGGACCCGGTGGCTTAAAACTCATGCCAGGCAAGTGTGTGTGCGTGCCCAAGATCCTGAGAGAATGAAGAAGGGATTGCGGCATGGCCATCTCCCCTGGGGGGGTGATTTTTCACTTTCTGTCTCTCTGTCTCTCTCTCTCTCTGTCTGGTGAGTGCATACGCGCCCTATAGCAAAAAAACCTCTTCCAAAAAAAAAAAGATACATTCTTTAAGGAGGATAATTTAACAATATTCATCAAAATTATAAAAACACAAAGCTTTTGACACAAAAATTCCATTTCTAGGTATATTTTATATATATATATATATGTGAAGTCTGTAAGGACATTCACTATAGTATCATTTTTTTTTTTTTTTTGAAGTGTGGCCATCTCCCTTTGGGGATGATTTCTCACTTTCCCTCTCACTGTCTCTCGCTCCAGCATGTGCATGTGCATTATGGCAAAAACCTTAAAAAAAAAAAAGTAAGACATAGTATAAGAGAAAAAATGTATTTGTTTATGTATATGCACTGAATATAATTGAAAAGATATAAAAAACTGAGGCAGAAAAGTGAGTAGATGGGACACAGGCCAGAACAAGACCTTTTAGTGTACATCCTTTTATATTTTCTGAATTATTACAAGTTTGAAAGGATTTCAGGACGAAATGAATGAGAAGGATGACATCACCATTTAATGTGCTGCCTCAGTAGTACATGACACAGTACTGACACCACAGTTAAGAATAAGAATTATGGGACCAGCAGGTGGCATGGTGGTTAAGGCACTGGGCACTCCCACATGGCCAACCAAGGTTCGAGTCCCGGACCCAATGGTCTGCTTTCTCACTTTCCCTCTCTCTCTTTCTGTGTGTGTGTGTGTGTCTCTCTCTGGTCAAATTAAAATAAATGAATGAATAAATAAAATTAAATTAAATAATTCTTTAAAAAAAAAGAAAAAGAGGGACCAGCAGCTGGCATGGTGGTTAAGGTACTGGACACTCCCACATGGCTGACCACAGTTCAAGTTCTGGACTTGGTAGCTTGCTTTCTCACTTCCCCTCTTTCTCTCTCCCTCTCTATGTCTCCCTCTGTCAAATTAAAAATAAATAAATGAATAAATAAAAATAAAAAAAAGAGTGAGAATTATAGTAATATTCACTGTGCTCTCCAGCATAAACGTTAGACCTGCACTAGAGGTTTATCATCCAGGTGAGTGTACTCATCGTTCGCTCAACAGTGATATTCACATTGGTTCGGGGGTCTAGCTGCTAGTCTGGGCAGCATGTTTCTTGCTGAAAATATCTACACCAGACTGTGGGCTCCTACTTTGAGAATATTCCTCCCCCATGGGTGGCGGGTGATCTTCGTCCCAGTCAACAGAATCCTCATCTGTCAGCACAACAATGTGGCACTCTCGCTCCCCTTTCTTGGCACAGCCCACCATGATGGGCAAGATCAGCTCTTCGAGGTAGTGGTCAAACTGCTTGTGAGCACCATCATTAGACAGTTCGTGCAGTAAAGCGCCTGGAGAGAGAAAACACAAGTGAATATGCCTTCTATCCAGATGCACATAGAACGGGCGTGAGAGAAACTATGAGCTGTGATCGCTGATAAGGTCCAGAGGAGTGGTGCAATTAAATCAGAGACTGTTTCCTATTTCACTACAACCATCAAGTGACTTTGTTAGAAATACTCTATACTCTACCACTCCTCCACTTACTCGTGTTTAATAATCCTTGAGCATTCTGATCAATTGAGGTTTTATTGCACTGTCAGGTCATAATCATTAATTCTACAAGAGATAAGCCAGCATTTGGGGATGACTCTTAGCAGTATCTCTTTTGAACTTGTCCTGGTCCTGATTTCATGGAGTTAAGAGTACCACAGTACAGGACTAATCTGAAGTTCAGCAACACCAAAAGATTTACTCTAAGTATGTACTAGACCCTCTGGGGAATTATAAGTCCAGAGGCTTTCATACAACATGCAAGGAAAGGAATTATGAACTTCAAAGAATAATTTGTTTAATAACTTCAGGAAGCCTAGATAATGATTAAGACCATGGAGTTTATAGTTAGCCAATCTGAATTCTAATTCTAATGCTTACACCTTTGAAAGAGCTAACCTTTTAGTCTTCTCATCTGTTAAATGAGATTGCTATAAGATTTAAGCAAGTCTACATCTAAAGCACTTAGCAAACACTAAGTTAGTGACAGAAATGACAGAATGAAACACCCAGCCAATTTATGGTGTTGGGCTTTATTAGTGTGCCTCTCCTCATGTTGATAAATCAATAATCTTTGTTAGGAGCAAGAACCAGGGTCCCAAGAGGGAAGCAGTTAGCTTGGTGACTCACTGGTCGAGCTCAATTTAGGACCCACTGCCTGCTTTCCTGTGTTTCCTCCACTTCACTTCCTTACGGTCCTTTGAAGCAGGAGGGGGAATGTATTAGTACCATGTATCTGCTCTGCAGACGATTTTCAAACCACACTTGAAGTTCCTTTTGTTTGATCATAAAAAATGTCAGTCAATTCCAAGTGAACTCAAAATTCTGCTGCTCAGGTGCAGCTGTCAGCTGCTCCTCTGTACTCACTCAGATCTTGACACCGGATAGTGTTGAAGTCAAAGTTAATGCAGAGATAATCACATGTATCCCTAAGGTCTGGGATAGAGATGCCATCAGGACAGTTGATGATACCAGTTTTGTAATAATCCTGCCAACAAGAGGAGGAAGAAGAAAGGTAGGCAAAAACTGATGGAAAAAATACGTCTTCAATCCTATTCATTCCTGGTTCTGTTCAAAGTGATGAGTTACTGGAATTATCACCAAATTGGTTCCCTCGTTAGCTAGCAAAGAGGCGGCTCACTCTTGACATGTTTAAGCAGAACTTGATAAATGACTGAGGTCACACAAGCAAGGACTTAAAAGTGGCAGGAATCAAAAATAAAGAGGGAAAGGCAACAGCTGGAAACCACAGACAGTAATTTAGACCAGAACTGTCACGGCTGCTGCCCATGCATGCCCAGGGAAGGGGATTTCACCTAAAAGTACTCATACCAGCACTGTGCGAAACACGGTTGCACTGATTCCTTCGGCAATCTCATACTCTCCCTTCTCGTTGGGCCGTGTGAAGTTGTATTCCCTTCCTGGTCCAAACATTCTGAAAGATACCCAAGTAACAATAACAATGTTACCTTCTCCAGCATCATTCTGGTTTTTTTTTTTTTTTTTTGAGAGGTTTTTGCTGTAGGGCGCGTGCGCTCGCCAGACAGACAGAGAGAGAGACAGAAAGCAAGAAATCACCCCCCCAGAGGGGATGGCCACGCTGCAATCCCTTCTTCTCCATTCTCTCGGGATCTTGGGCACGCATGCACACACACCCGGCGTGAGTTTAAGCCACTGGGTCCAGGACTCGAGCCACGGTCAACTACGTGGGAGTCCAGCAACATAGCCATTACTCCAACTGCTGGTCCCTCCAGCATCATTCTGAAAGACTCCATTGCACTCATTCGTGAGTTAGCATCACAGCCCTTGGACCCAACACCTACAGGAGGAACTTAAGTCTCAGGAAACTCCCCTTGGTCCAGAAAAGAAGACAGCAATTGCTTCAACAGTCCATCACCAGCAATTGCTTTAAGCATGTGTGTGCAAGAAGGAATGAAGCAGTAAGTTCTCAAAGTTCACGTGTGCTAAGTTTCATTGGTAGCAAATGCAGAGACTGCAACTGCAGAGATGGCCCTTGGAAAATCCGATGTGTGATGGCTGTCTTTGATGACCTCCCCACTGCTCAAGAACCTGCCTAGAGGTCTGATAGTTCAGGAAGACATCGTTTCTGCTCCTGACCTTTCCTACTCCTTCCCCTCCTCTCAACATTTATCTATCCAGCATGTCATTCCTCATTATTTCTGAGTTTTGCTTTTCAACTTCTAATCTGGTAGAGAACTCTGCATACGAAGGTGCTTCCCCTTCCCTGGTACATTATAACAGTAGGGTCTGGGAAAAAACTCCTTATTCAATCCAAGGAGTAACTGATGATGGGGCTTCAGGTCAAGTAGAAAAGGACAGCAGTAAGTGCGCTTAGCAGTAGCTTGACAGATGCGTATTTCAGAGAGGCAGGCCTGCTCTCAGCATGAATTCACAGGTCATGAGGGCACCGAGAGGAGGGCTTGCTTCTCTTATCCACCTCTCCTTCTTCCTTTATGCTCTCCAGTCTACTGAGCCCATGACTTCTACTCTTGCTGTACTCTTGTGTATGAATTGTGGAATGTGAAGATAGCACAGAGACAGGGCATGCAGTCACTATCTTCAGCCAGCCGATCTGCTTTCCCAATGGGACTCAGCTGCCCTTTCCTTCCTTAACCTGTGAGGAAACGCTGCTGTTTAACAGTTCACCTGCTGTTCTCTACTCTGAATGGGCTGCTTTTCAAAGGTCTGGAAATTATTCTATATACATGCTTTAATTCAGATGTTTGAGAGATACATTGGTAGATCTAGTTCTAGTTTTAAAAGGTTCACTATGATTTGTACGTTGAAATATTCACATATTTGAATGGCTGAATGCCATTTAGCCTGGACTTCAGGAAATCAGTGTGATTCATTCTGATTTCTAATTCAGTTCAAATTACTTCAAAGTTCTGAGCAAGGTTAGATCTTTAAACAAACAAAAAATATTTTACTTCTAAGTAGATTAAAATCCTTGAAAACCAGATCTACCCACATACTATCATCATCATCACTACTTATTGCCAGAGGGTACGTGCACTTGCCAAAGAGCATGAGTGAGCATACACGCAACAGCATACATACCCCCCCAATGGAGTGGGGTCACATCCCAATTCCTTTCTTCCATCTGTCCTTCCCATGAGGATTTTGGACAGGCATACACATGCACATACAATCAACATTTTTTCAAGCTGTGGGGGCTGAGATTCGAACCACAGTCAGCCATGTGAGATCTGGCTCCCAATTCACACTGCTTAAGGACTATGCTACTGGCTGGCCCCTCATATTATTCATTTTAATTATTACTCTTATCCCAGTTTGCTTTTCCTCATGTTAAGATCTGTGTTTGGACAGACAAAGGACCTCTCCATTCCTAGCCCAAGCTCCAAGAGTTCTTCTAGATAGTATTCCTCCTTATCAGGCTATTGCTGCTTCTAGACCTCAACCCTGAAAGGCTGGGGTAGTAACAATGAGGATATGACTATAATCTGAATGAAGTAACACAGAGAATAGAACATGAAGAACACAGAGCAAACTTGAAACATAAACATTCCATTTCAAGAATTTAAGGAGTGGTGGAGGCATTTGAAATGATAGCACAGTACCACCAGGCACAAAATGAGCAACAGACGGCAAGCAAAATGCTGTGCAGAAAAATATCTTTGTTCTTGTATCACATGGAACATTTGTCTAATTCTGTTTTTTATTTTAAAAAAGACTATCACTTATGTCTCACTTTATCTCAACCATCTTTGAAGTGTGGAGCTTAGAAAGCATTACTTCTAAGCGTTAACAGAGGAACAGGAAGTG